GCTTCGCTGGTCGGGACACAAGAGAGAGCCACTCGCCGCGTAGATGTGCTCCTTCCACGTCATCGGTGCTGGCATCGTGTAAAATGTGTCATAAATATCCAAATACGACGTCGCATTCTGCGTCCTTGCGCTAGCCACGGCTGCAGCAAAAGCAGTCATCGCCTCCCGTAGTACAGATGGCACGCTGACGTAGACCATGTCGATCGAACCAAATGGCCCAAGATACGACGACAAGAGCTCGTAATTGACACTCCACGGCCAAGGTGGCAACACCGTTTCAGTCACCAGAATCTCTTGCAGTGATGCATTTTGAAAAGCAAATCGACTGCTCGACCGGAGGAGACTCTTGCCACCCATGGACGAGGTGTTGGTGACGAGAGCGCCGAGGTCGTTGGCCAGAGACCAGTACATTTTGAACGACGTCTGGCTCCCCAAACGGCGGTAGCCCGCAGTCGACTGCAGCAAGAAAGGATACGAGACGCCGTACGCATTGACAATGTTGTACGAGTGGAGAAGACCGATCGACTTGTAGTTTTGCCACTGCAGCACGTACGACGAGATACTCTTTGATGTCCAATAAGACACTTCGTCGTCGATCGAGAGGTACGGAGGACTAAATGAAGCCAACAAAGCCTGACCGGCCATAGACTCACGCAACTCGGACCCAAACCCAATCTCAAACGACGCACTCCAGCACGTTGAGATATCAACATTCCGAAGCAAAGAAGCGAGAAAGACCGCGCCATTACTGACCATCGACTGGCATCGTTCTTGGCGCTTGACCGAATTGGCCATATCCCACTTTTGATCAAAGTCGAGGTAGCAGTACTGCGTAAAGACCCACGGACCATCACAACCATCCAAAGTACGAAGCCCCGAGATCGCATCCGAAAGAGTGGTTAGGGTTGAGTACTGGACTCTGGCGCCTTGCTGGATGGGAAACGCGACGGACACTTGCGACAGGTTGAACAGCCCAAGAGCGTTGATTTGCTGGTGGCTGGTGAGTGCTATCGCCGAGCTGTCTGCACCCAGTAAATGCGCCGGCTCGTTGAACCAGTTGGCGAGAAAGCTGTGCGACCCCGTCATGTTGAAGGCGGGCCAGACCAAGTCGTTGGTCAAGAGCCCTTGGGCGAGACCGAGGTACGAGACACTGCTGTAGATCGCTGCAGCGACGTAGACAGTGCCAATGATAACCCAGACCCGCGGCCCCCAGCGCGTTTGTATCATTGACGGATGAAGCTCCACGGGCATGACCATTGCCGCCGTCGGAGCCAGAAAGAGTAGGCGCCAGAGCTTGAGGTCAAAGATGGCGGATCCTCGAAGCGGAATGAGACCAGATGCGAGGTGGCCGACCAAATCGAGTTCAGAATCTCGGTCCAAAAACGCTTGGCCAACGACCGAGAGCATCGAGCTTGTGCAATAGTCCTTGGTCTTCCGAGACGTGGGACGAGCCGCAATGCAATCCAAAAACCACAGACACGGAACGAGCAAACACTGGATCAGTCCAATGACTCGGAGCCGCGATAGCTCGCCTGTCAGCAATGTGACGCTGTTGCATCGAACGTTGTAGTAACTGCTGCTAATGGTACATTTGCGATCGATGGTTGCTGTCACAGACACGGGCCAGCCAACGTCCATGATCACCAGCAACAGCCACGTCAGCAACGTCCCAACAAGCCCAATCGACCGCGCGCGGTGGCTCTGCAGTGGCAAGAGCAACTCGTGCACGACGTACACAATCCACGTCGCTTCCCACGCCAAGAAGCACGTCTCGAGAACGGGGCGGGTCGAGAGCACCAGCTGCGCGTAAATGTTGTGCGCTCGATCGAGTCCGATCGGAGCCGAGCTGAGCAGCATCAGTGCGCTGGCGCCGCGAAGCAACAACAGCGGACGTCCGAGCCACGTGGAGCCCGCGATGCGGTTGAAGACGAAAAAGTTGATGCCCGAGACAGCGCCACGCGACATGAATGAAGCGATTAGGGTTGCGACAGCGACAGCGCCAAGCACAAGACTCGAGTACGCGATGATGTAGTAGACACCGGCCGACGCGTTGCTGAGACTGCTGCTGCTCGAACCGCTGGGCGTCGTATCATAGGCGTCCGAGATCAAGACAAGCGTCCCGTTGTCGCCCTCAAACGAAAGAACTTCACGAACGCCTGCGACCCAGTCGAAAAGAAGAACCCAGCCGTAGAATGCAAAGGACGATTGGTCCAATAACGGTTGTCGTAGCAGCGTGTAGTTGGTTTCAGTCATGTCAGAGGCAACTTGAATGACACTGACGTCAAGAGCTGTGACAGCTGCAATGGCGTCTTGGACGAGCGTTTGATTTAGTGTGCGTATCATGAGGGTCCGAGCTAGGCGCAGGGACGGCGTGCACGCATCCGAGGCGGCGAGTGCGCAGATGTCTTCGACCGAGTCGCTCACAAGCGAAAGCGCCATTACCATGGCAAATGGGGACACTGACATTCTCCAGACGGTTTGTGTCACGCAAGAACCGACGGCTGTGAATGGCGGCAGCACAAAGGTCTGCGATGTATCGTAGCTGCACAAGAGGCTGCCACCCCAAAAGACATAATGTCCATTCTTCCACGCTCGTGGTGTTGGCGTCACCGAGAGTGACCGAAGGTTGGTGTAAGTATTCGCAAACGAGCTGTTGAGCCCTCCGTAGAACGCCGTTGAGAGGGCACTCGTGAGGCAAACGAGAGCGGTTGGGGGAGACACAACAAGAAGATCGATCGAGAGATAAGGTCCGAGAGCCGCACGAACCAAGCTGGATTGGGAGGCGCCAAAATAGTATTGAGCATACGAATAATCGTCAAACGACTGCGGCGGCATGCCAAAGCACGTTGTATTGAGAATGTAATTGGGCGTGTCGCGAATCAGACTCAGGTTGCACATTGTCGTCGGGTACAGATCCATGGCCAACGGCTCATAAAAGTGGCTGGACGACCCTGGACCTAGGTCGGACTCGATGCTCTTGAGTGTCAGAGATGTCGGTATACCGAGGGCATTGACAAGCGTCGCTGTCTCGACGAGACCCGGAAGGCGCAAGTTTTGCCACTGGTAGCAAAAGCGCTGGATCCCATGGCGCTGCCAAAACGCCACTTCGTCCGGCACCGACGTCGTTGTTGCAGCGACCGTGTCCAGCCAATGCACGCCACGCGTCGACGCCTCGAGACCACTCAAGATCGCGCTCCAAAAGAGCGTCTCGGGACCGCCGTAGCCGACAAGAAAGGCCGTCCAATCAATGTTGCGAGCCACAGCCTCCAGGTAGACGGCGCCGTTGGTACCATACTGGTGACGGCACCGGTCCTGCCGCGCCTCTGTGTGCGCGAGCTCAAACGATTTGTTAAAGTCGACCCAGCAGTATGGTGTCGGAAGCCACAAGACCATGTCGATAGATGTGTTGCGCAGACTCGTGATCGCAAAGTCGAGGGATGGGAGCTTCGTCGTCAGCAGAGCCATTGCATACGTCGGGTGTGCGATAGCGGTTGTCAGCAGACCGTCGTAGCGCGCGTCGAGCATCACCGAGCCCAAGTCAACGGTCGCCTCATCATCTGATGTCTCCAGTAGCTGGTTGAGGGCATCGATGAGGAAGGTTTGGTACCCAGACGAGTTGTAGTGCGGCCAGAAGAAGTCGTTGGCAAGCTGTGGCTGGATATGGAGAAGGTAATAGAAAGTACCTGCCAGCGTCGCACAGAGCCAGAGAGCCCCCGGGAGCCGCCACCGACTTGGCGATGGATCGAGAGACCCCGTCGTCGGCTGGATGCGCATGTCGGCCGTTGCTGTACTTTATACATGAAACCGCTCCAAGATAGCGCGTCTGAAGCGTCGCCGAGACGACTCATTACTCATTTCCACGGTGCATCTAGGCCATACCCGAAAAGCTATCATATATATACACGACAGTATCCACCGCTTTGTACGCCTAACGAGTACGGTACTTAGCGGCGTCAGGAATCGTATACGATCGTACTAACGTTAGTGTAGCCGTCCTTGTGTGAACCGACCACCAGCCGGTGTGTGCGTGTGTGTGTGTGTGTGTGTGTGTGTGTGTGTGTGTGTGTGTGTGTGTGTGTGTGTGTGTGTGTGTGTGTGTGTGTCACAATCGCTTCTGCGATAGTAGCACCGCTCGTTGGTTTGAGCTCTCGATACAAGCACCTTAAACCCCAAAACTGGAGCCAAGCCTGGAAGACCTAGGGTCGAAGCGACGGCCCGCAGGTCGTCGTCCTCGACGCCAAAGCCTCTGCGACTTCGGCTGGAGGCAGCGGCAGCACAGGACGGTGTGGCCCGAAGGAGCGGCCGCCGGAGCTACGACTCGATAGGTCGGCGGTGATGGCCATGAGGCGCGCCGCGTAGCCTTGCCAGCATCGTGGCGAAGGTGTTGCTAGCTAGTCTTGGACATAACTCCACACACACAGCGCTAAGAACTGTATGGCTCGGTCATTGCGATGCATGCCAAGGCGTCCATGGAATAGCTGCAGTCCGCTGCCTTCCTTGATCGTATGCCTGTGTGAGGTACCTTCCGAGGCGCAGTCTCTATCCCGCTCGTCACCGAGTTGAAGCGTTGCATCACATGATCGTAGGCTTAACACCGCAGGCGGCAACGCTGCTGGGGCCAAGTCCCTCGTACGACCCGATAATCAGACAAATGTGCAGTTATAGAGATGAAGATGGTATTCTTGCTACCGCGCTCGTGAGGTACGCCTGTCGGAGGGCGCTTGGTCGAGGCTTGCGATTGGGCGAGGAACGAGATAGCGCACGCCAAGCGTCGGCGCAGAGAGCGTCGAGCGCTTCGGCAAGCGACAGCCCCACGGCGCGACGAGCCCAGTGCCGGACATGATGCAATTGCGCAATGGTAGATGCCTTGATCGCAAGCGCAGCAGTGGGAAGGTGCGTCAACGTCGAGCCAAACACCCGGGTCGTGCGCCAGCCAGAGCCGGCACCCGTCGCACGATCCTATAGTTCTTGTTCCGTGCGTCGGCCGTTCGGAGTGGGCTCCTGCGCGTTAGCTCTGCGCGTTATGATGGCCCGTGGGTTTGAGAGAGGGACGTCTACCCACGGCCTGTCCGACGGACGAGAAAGTCGAGAGTAGTATGATGGACCATTGACAGCGACGCCCACATACGCTGTATACGCAGCAGTGTTCGTGACGAGGAGTGGCCGCATGACGCAGCCGCTCGCCAGTAGCCGTTCGTTGTCGTCGTAGTAATCACGCTGCTGCATCAACACAAGTGTGGAGCTGCAAGTAGCCGCGCCTTACTCACTGCGCACCCACCGCCTCGTGTGTTGCGCAACCACAAACGCAGTAGTCGAGGAATCGTGGCATAAATTAAGATTAAGACGGCGGCGTGGGTGGTTCAACACCGCCCGTCGAGGCTACTAGTGCGACTCAGACTTGGAGCACGATAGGCGTCGGTCGCAGCGGCGCTCTTGAAGTGAGCAAAGCAGAAACCCTTGTTGCGCGCGTTCTTTCGACAGGTCGCCACGCTGCACTTTTTGCCACCGCCGTGTTTGATGCAGCGGCCACCCGTGACCGCGCCCTTGACGCACCCGGGCATCGAGCACCGGTGGCCGCCGCCGTGGGCAACGCAGTAGTTGCCGCTCACAGCGCTCCGACTGCACATGTCGAACTGGCAACGCTTCCCACCGCCATGCGCGATGCAGTAGCCGCCCGAGAGCGCGTACTTGGTGCACCCGGCGTCGTTGCAGCGCCGGCCGCCACCGTGCTGCGCGCAGTAGCCGCCGAGGAGCGCCGACTTGGCACACTCGGCCGCGATGCAGCGCTTGCCGCCGCCGTGCGAGATGCAGAGGCCACCTTCCTTTGCGCTCTTGACGCAGCCCGCGACTTCACAACGCTTGCCACCGCCGTGCGCGATGCAGTAGCCACCGGTCTTGGCCCGTTTGGGGCACGCGTCCCATTGGCAGAGCTTTCGGCCGAGGAGCGGCTTGAGCAATGGTGTTGGGCGCGGCGGCGGTGCAACCGGCTTGGCGTCGGCCGACGTCAGGCTGTCGTACATGGCTTGGGCCTGGCGGTGGAGGAGGCAGACGCTCTTGAGCTTGGCGAAGCGCGTGCAGCCGGGCACGGCGCAGAGCGTCGAGAACTCGGGGAGCATCATCTTTCGTGCGATAAAATAAAAACTGAAGTGCTCGATTTCGAACCGCCACCGGCTGGCGGCCCGACCAGTGGCGGGCCAGAGGTGGATGTTGGCGCGGGACAAACCATCTGGTTCGCGGCTGTCGCGATGACACCACCGGTGCGCGGAGTGAACAGTCGCCTGCTCACTTTCGCGCGAGTCGCCATCAGCATCCCACCTCCCACGAGGTCGATCCTCCTCACACTCGAATCCAGTGTTGACGCAACCCACGGGTAGCCAATCTCGGCGCGAAAGAAGCGGTGGCAGCACAGATCTCAGGTCAAGGTCGGACTCGATGACACCCATATGTGGCGCGACACGGCGGCTTCCAACGTATACAGGTATACAAGCACGCTGGAAATTTGTAAACGTCGCTCCATCTGCCGACTCGACGGAGTAAACGGTGCTTGCTTTCTCACGAGATCACCTACGCTTTTTGATGCACTGACTGCACTGGTGGTGGCCACGCGGTTGGAGAGCCCTGGAGATGGCTTGAGTCAAGCTCGCTCTACCACTACCATCGACATTCTTATTGCTTCTAACAAAGTATCGAATTTGACGCTATTCGCGTGGTCTAGTACTGTGATAGCTTATTGAACGGAAGGGCCTCGCACGACGGCCTCGCCATCTTGACGTACTACCGTCAGTGGCAAAGTGCATTCTTTCTCGTGCGCTGTGATTCGAATCTACACTGTACGATGTACGCGTTTCTGATACCGTACGTACATACATTGTACGTACTGTTGTACCACGCAGTACGAGCAACGGGGTCTTCAGTGGCCGCCATCGCTGCCCATCGCTGCCCGCATCATCCATGTCCTCGTACCGGTATATGTACTGGTCACGAGGTAGTGTAGGGACTCGTACTGACATTGACAGATCCTACGTCGATAGTCTAGAATGTTCAAGCAGACCGCTGCACCATTTTGTTGTGCAGCCTTTCTGGGTGTTGTTGGATACGATGACGTGGCGCCTCCGCAGCGTCGTCGTCCGTTGCGCGGCCTTTCGGTTGGGCTAAATATACACGGGCGTGGTTAAGGCATCGTAGAGTACACACTTACCGCAACATGTCGACGCCTGTCGTACCCATCTCGCCGACGGAGCAGGACACTGGTGCCTTTGACGCGACGCCGTCCAGCGCACGGCTGGCGGCGCTCCAGCGCGTTCAAGCGCGGGTTTTTGAGGCGCTCAAGCCCGTCATCGGGCTCGTCATCTGCTGCCTCATCGTGGCCGACTCGATCACGAACAACTGGAGCTTGAACGACTATACGGGCAACGCATACCACTTTCGGACGCCGGTACTGAGCGTCGCGACGGTCAATGACGTCCGCGCCCAGTACAACTTTCCCCTCCGATCTGTCTCGATCTCGCCCGCGGGCATTTGGATGTCGTTCTTCAACGTCTTGCAGTTGGCCACGGGCGACCCGGACATGTATCTGCTCACGGCGGGCTCGTACACCGTCAACAAAGCCATCTTGGACAAGCAAAGCCTCTGTACCGAAATGGCCAACCAGTACACTCTCCAAGCCACCACGAGCCTCTCGGCCGTCAAAATTGGCGCGTCCATGGACTATATGACATATCTGCAGGGCAACATTTTCTCGTCCTATGACACGAGCACGCTGCCGCACAATATGTCGGGCGCGGCGCTCACAAGCCTTGGGTTCCTCCCGGGGCGGCTGGCCACAGACCTCCGGCTTTCGTCGGCATTCAACGTCACCCCCGATGTGCCTTACTCAAGCGTCAACGTCTCTTTGTATCGCATTTACAGCAAGTCGTTCTGCAGCGGCTGCACGCCATTGGCCGAGCTCGGACTCCTCGAATGCAAACTCACCTACTCGTACAACAGTACGTCGCGCGCGCTCGTTGTCCACTCCAGCAACGGCATTTTGGGGTCCACCCAAGACGTCGGCGTCCTCCTCCAGAAAAGTTCGTTTGTGTCGGCGGCCGTCTACATCAAGATTCTCAGTCTTCTCTGGGTCATTGTGAGTTTTGGCGCGAGTCGAAAGACGACCCGCTGGATCGAAGTCGAGACGTGGTTCACGCTGCCGTGGTACTCGAAGCTCTGGTACACGGTCGCGCCACCGATTTTTCGATATGCTTCGAGCGCTGTGAGTCTCTCAACTTTTTACTACAACTGCGACGGCTTTGTCCTTGGCTACTCGATCGCTGTCATGCTCGACATGAACGCCTCGCTTGTCTACGCGCGGGAAGTCAACATCTACAACAGTCTCAGCCCGAATTCGTTCATGTCGCTGCAGCTCTACTCGATGGGCCTCCGGTTTCTGTGGGCCAACTGCCTCGTCCTCAAGGGCCTCAAGATTGCCTTTCACTACCTTAGCAACGCGCAGACGACGGGCGACAACAAAATGGTGCGCTTCTGCAACCTCAGCTCGGTGCTTTTCATCTACCTCTCGGGCGTTGCGCTTCTCAATGTGAACCAACTCATTGAAATGAACAACAAGGCGCGAATCGACGTGCCGATCTACAACCTCCAGCGCATCAACGTCCACTTGGACGTCTTCGACTCGTGGTTTGTGCGCGCGCTCCCGACTGTGTTTGCGATTGGACTCATGAACCTCGTGTTCGTCCTTGCGCTCAACCACCTCTTTATGCGCTCGTGGTGGCGCCGACTCGAGCGCAACACGCTGGCGCGGCAGTTTATCTACAACTCGTCGGCGATTCTCGTTGAATTTTTTGATGAAAAAGACTTCAAGCCGGTCGACACCGACGTCAAGGCGATCGCGCCACTGGTCGTACCGGCGCGGTCGCTCTGCACGCTGCAGTGGCTCCTCACGTGTCACTTGATTCGGTTTGGGCTCACCGAGTCGCCATCGGTCGTCAAGGCCATCGTGACGCGCACCGCGAGCAAGCAGAGCGGCGACCTCTTCATGGTCGTCCAAGACTCGGACGGCAACGTTCGCCTCTATGACGCCCACAAGGCCGAAGTGCAAAGCCTCGGCATGGAAGTCAAAATTCTCAACAACACCAACTACATCATCGCGTAAGACCAAGCTGGATTTATGTTGTACAATATATATACTTTATAAACATATTCGCCGGTGACGAGCGACTTCACGAGCAGACGACTGTTTGTGTCGGCCAAAGGTGCAAAGAAAAGGGAGGCATGTAGAACGGTTTCCGGAACACTACCACCCAATGTGAGCTAAATGATGCGAGCTAGTGTTTAGGTGCAAAGAAAAGGGAGGCATGTAAAACGGTTTCCGGAACACTACCACCCAATGTGAGCTAAATGATGCGAGCTAGTGTTTGGGGAGGTGGGATTGCGCCACAGTAGTCACGTCAGAGGGACGCGACTTTTTGACGAGAAGGACCCAGAGAAGGACCGAACGCATTTTCCATCGGCGCGATGCGCGACGTACAAGCGCAGGCGCCTGTCCGCACTCATGTCGCCATCCAGAACTTCGCCGTAAGAGTCGGAACCAAATCGCACGCGGTCTCCTTTGCATACTCGTACATGTTGTATAGAGCGTCAACCGAGCGCTCAGAAGCGCTCGAGGTCATCTGAGCCTTCCGATTACTGTAGTCGTTGCTTTCTTGACTGCATTCAGTCACTCGACCGCTCGAATCAGATACCAGATGTAGAACATAGAAAACACGTGCTCCTTCGTGTCTTTGACCAAACGATGCCGTGTCCAAAGGCCCGAAACGTCATATCCCAAAAAGATCAACCATACCGTGACGTGAGGCGTATCCTACCGTGGAAATTGGCAGTGGGAAAGAAGGTAGCGCACCAGATAGAATATACGATTAATCACAACAACAACCAACCAAATAAACTTGAGAACGATTACGTTTGAAGTCGGTGCAGCTCGTTCCGTAGTGCACGTCGCACGTGCAGTAGCGATGGCCGGTACGTCGGGTTCCAGTTCATGCAGCTCTTGACGACGTTGGCGAGGGACTCGCCGGCCGCGGAGCTTCGACGCACGCCAGCTGTCGATGCCCCCTTGAAGACGGCCATTTCTTTCAAAAGCGCGCCAAGGGCAAAAATGTCGGCTTGGACCGTGTACTGGAGCCCCGAGAGGATCTCGGGGGCCGCGCGCTGCGTGCTATACACGTCAACAAAGTCGTCTTCTTCGCGGAGCCAGCCAAAGTCGCAGAGCTTGGCTTCGCCCCGTGCGTTGAGATAGACGCTCGACGACGAGATGTTGCGGTGGGTCACGCCCTTGGCGTGGATGTACAAGAGACCTTCGACGATGCGCACCGCGTAGTCCAATTTCGTGACGAGCGCTTCGTCATCGTTCGCAATCGTTAAATAGTCCTTGAGCCGGCCTCGGTCCATGCACTCAAAGACAAGTTGTAGCTCCGTGGGTTTGGTCCAGAGTACACCGTGCATTGTCACCAGGTATGCGCTCGTGAGCCTACACAATACTCTATAACGCGTCCACCAAATCGAACGATAGACCTACTTGACACGGAGGAGGAGGTGGCCGACGCGCGTTTGGACGTCGACGTTGGCCGACAACTGCCGCTTTTGAACGACGACGCGGTTGCCGTCGTAGAGAGCTTGGTAGCTCTCGATACCGACCATGTTGACGGCGGCCGTCTGCGTCGGGTCAGCCTCGGCGTGGAGGAGATGGAGCTTGTGCGGCAGGAGCTGGTACGGCGTGATGGCCCCCAAATCTTGCTGGAAGCTGGACCGAAGTGACGTCAGCGTCAGCGTCGCGTTCGTATCGTGGAGCGACCGGTCGTACACTTCGTCGTCGGCCTCTTCGTGGACGAGACCGTTGTTGGTGAGGATCGTGACGCCGGCAACATTCAAGGGCGATGACTTGAAGTTGTGAGCGCTCTTGAGGAGCGGGTTTTCACGGCGTCTTCGCCGAGCGAGCAAGCACGTGGCAACAACGATGATGGCGACGGCGACGAGCCCGATGCCAATGTAGAGACCCGTGTTGATTTCGTCGCTCGACGACGTCGTCGCGTCGGTCAGCGTCGGTGTCGGCGACACCGTAGCGGGTATGGCGGTCGGCACCACAACTGTCGTGTTGGGTGTTGTAATGTTGGGCACCGGCGCGGTCGTTGTCTCTTGTGGAATCGTCGACGGTACAATCGTGGTGCCATTGAGTTGAAGGATCGAGCGGACGCGCGCACACCAGCCGCCCGGTACGTCGTAGCCCGAGACACCATAGAGCGACTTGTACTGGGCGCCGCAAGAGAGCTCCCGCGTCGGCCGGCGGTCGCACTCGGGCATGCGGTCGACCCACGCGCAGTGGACGCCGTCGATCGAGCCGCACGCGACGTCGTTGTTGTCGTTGAGGCGGAAGGCCGCGATCCCGAGCGTATCGGGGAGACACGTCCACGTCGAGTTGGTCATTGCCAGCAAACTCTGTCGGTGGAATCGCGATGTGAGCAGCTCCAAAATGGAGCCACAGGATCGAATGCGAGATCCGGCAAAGTGGCGCTGGCGACCGCATGTATTCCATACGCAAAAACAGCTGGCGCGATCTGAGGTGGCGTGCAGTGCCACCGCCGCTGCATGCTTGCACTTTGACACCAAGGGTACTAGCGTAGAGCTCTATCACTGTTTGGACTCGATATTGTCGTTGAGCACCAAACAATGTGTCTGTCGAATACGCTGTAGGATATGAAATGCTCGGCGAACGAGCTTGGACCACGGACAACTGGCTCGTTTCCTCTGTCGAACTGTCGTGGTGTCCTACTTGACCCGAACAGAACAAATCAAGAGCTTCGATTTAGGGGATTTGAGACGGTGGGTGCACATTGCGCATCTCGGACGCGGCAGCATTGTACTGCATTGGTATAGAAACCGGCGGCACTTACTTTTATGCTTCGTTTCGCGT